ACAGGAAATCGGAACGCTACTTACATATCATCAGGCTTTTGCATCCTGCCAGGGTGTTGCTGATCTCTTTCTGCTCTCCTAATGCTATTACAGAGGCTTAGGAAAGAGCAGGCCTTAGACTTATTCTTGCCCGAGTACTTTTTAAACTTAAACATCTCCGAACATTAACACAGAGAAGTACAGCTGGCTGTTTTGACATCCTGTGTCTCGAGAGCAACGTGGCACGGAAGTCCTTTTTAACTGCCACCTTATCATCGCTGATTGAGTCGTATCATCATTCTCTAAGTAGCAGGGAGTAAATTGTCACCGCATTGGAAGGGCGGTCTCCCCGCTCGCCCCCATTTCGGCAGTCCGGGGAGCCACCTCCCAGCGCTGGGGCTGAGTGGCGCAGCCCAGGGGCTCAGCGCTCATCTGGCATTCCTTCGCAGCCCCTCTTCAATCATGCCCCTGCTCTCCCACTTCATCTAACGTGGCTGTACCTCAAAATGCAAAACTTTGCCCAAGATGGATAGCGACAGAGCATCTGTAGGCTTGTTAAGTCAAACTCTGATAAACGAGCCGTACCCGGTGCGTACCTTGCAGACAGCATGCCGGAGTACTCGCTGACCTTAAGACTCAATCAGATCATGTTGGCAGAGCGTGGTTCTGAATGTAACTGCCTCCGACTTCAACAGCTGCATTTACTGCATAAAGAAAAAGCTGTTAAGCCTGTGCCCTTTGCGCTCTCGGCTCTGTTTCTCTAAGAGGTTTATACATGATTCAAGAAAAGTCTGCAACAGAGTAACTCCCTTCCCCCATAATATACCCAACCAGAGGAGATGTTCTTTTATATTTTAGGTTGGTGGCAGCACTTTAAAATGATTTCTGACACAAAAATTTTTGAACTGTATCATTATGAAGTTGACGGTAAACAGATTTTTTTTGAGGAAAAACCATTGACTTGCACTATATAGCTGAGATCCATTTGGAAGAAACACAAAGTCAACTTATTCCTGACTTTCTGTCTGCTGACGGGCTTGCTTGGGAAATGAGAGCTGAGTTAAAACCGGTAGATCAAAGAGTTTGGTAAAGCTAAATGCCTGAATAGTTCGGGTGCTTATTCGAAGCTTCTCCAAGCTGCCCGGATCTGCTGCGCCTGGAAGTGTTACAGAAACCCTTTTGCTTGCGATAGGCTGACTCAGCTGCATGAGCTTTTCCTGCAAAAACCGAGAGGATAACTCGTCTTGCACCGTTTCGGTGGTGACGGGCCTGCTTATAGACAGAGCACCAGGAGCGCAAAAGGGATCCACAATGAAAATGAACGTGAGGAGAAGAAAAGTTAACCTCATGTTCCCTAAACGCTGCGAGTGTGCGCAGTTGGCAGATTAGCCTCCTTTCTAACTCTCTGAAGAAAATCTTTGTGAAATGACTTACGTGGATTTGAACTGTTCTTTGAATTGCAGATGCAGGGACATCACATTGCGGGAAGCGTTTCTGTACTCGTATTGTTCTCTTTTCTGTTTTCTTCTGTACTACAACCCAGTGACATTATTAGGCTACATAGAATAGTTGTAAAGTCTCTGGTTGCTATGTGAAATCTGAAAGTTTTTTTAGTTTGTTGATCTTTTACAGTCATCAGGAGTGGAATAGAGCAACAAAACAGCAATCTTTCTTTCAGGAAGAAGCTCAAAAAGAATTTTTTCGACTGGAGTCACTTTATTATCATTCCGTATCATGTCATTTTCTTAGCATTGCAAAAGGCACAGTGCCTAACATTTTGAAATGTTAGTATTGCTTTCCTGAAAGATTTATTTTTAAACGTATGATTGTCAGGAAGATAGAACGTTTATGAGTACAATTCATTGGGGGGGAAAAAAAAAAAAAGAGTTGGAAAATGGAACACCTTTGTATTTGCAAAGTCAAACAATTCAGGGGGAAACGAGGTGTTTTGAAGAGAACATTGGAATTGATGGCCCTGGCATGTCGTTTTGGCAATGTCTTTCGACACTGCTGCGGCCTGACAGATTAATTGGCAGCACGCACTAGCCTGTTGCAATCCAGGGTTCACAGATAGTTCTGACTAGATAAATGACGGACAGGGTGTTAGTAGGGTTGGGCAAAAAGTCTGGACAAGAACACAGACTGCTGCCCGAGTATCATGCTTAATTCAGGCTGACCCTTTCCCAAAGCCTGAATATGTTTGAACTACAGGATTTTTTTTTTTTCCCCCTATGGACTGCTTCCTAAAATATTGCTTTTTAAAACAGAAAAAGAGCAAAGTCACCCATGTCTCCACACTTTGATCGCAGCCTAGAAATAGAGTAAAACAATAAATACATTGCAAAGAGCATGTATCATCTAAACTTCCAGTCCAGCTTTGCAGTCCCGGGGACACTGAGAGTTGAAGTATTCTTCAGATGTTCAGCCAATTTTATCATGCCTAACTAAACCAATCTTTTCAACACTATGAAGTTTGCTCATCACTAGCTAATACGCATGTTTTAAAAAAGACTTGGTAGAGTCTGCAACCATATCCCTTCCAGAGAAAATATTTTTATGTATTCTTAAATACCTGGCTCAGGAAACTGTTGTGAATGAATTGTTATCCAGCTTCCTTATCAACCTTCTGAATTACCTATGAACTTTGCAGTTGCAATATTTAATGATTTTCCTGATCCAAGTCCCATCATCTTGCCCGTATAGGACAAAACAACACTGGAGACCCTGACTCAGCAACTGGCAGTAAAACAGAGCGAAGACGGGAAGTTTAGCCACGCAATGATGGATTTCAACATGAGTGGAGATTCTGACGGTCAGTACAAATGGCTTATCCTTATTTCCAGGTTTGTGCGTACATGTCGACGGGATCTGGAGGAGAATCCAAGTGCTTTGGAGGCCTGTGAGGAGTAAGAGCGGTAAGCAATAAGAGGATATAGGAAACAATGATTCATCCTGTGGTGTTTTAAGTCTGGAGGTGATTTTTTTAGCCTTCTCTTATGTACACTGCACTTCTCAAGACTGGACCAAGAATGTATTTCTGAGGGTAAAAGGGAATAAAGGAGGCAAATAGATGTGGAATAAATGAGATCATACAGTGAGTCCATGAATTGTAGACCTGATTGTCCATAGGTGATGCAGGCTCTGCATCTGTAGGAACTGTCTTGGTTTGATGAAGAGAGCGTAATGTTGTTTCTGTCTCGGCTATTGCTTATGTTGTTACGGAGAGGTAAGCTCAAAAACAGGCAGATGTGTAAATGTTCATTTGCCAGTTAGAGTATTGCTTAAGAAGAATCGCCTGATGTTGGTTGCCATGTATCATCCCTTTCCCATCACAGAAAAGATAGAAGATAGGCAACACCATACAACCAGCATTTGGTAAGCAAGAAAGGAAGAAAGTCAAAAGAAAATCTACATTCGTAATTGATGGGGTTACGTTTTTAAGTAGTAAAAGATGGTTTAGAAAAGCTGTTTAATGCTTTGTGTTGAAAAAAAACAATTGAAACTCTTCAAGCCTATACTATGTGATACTGAGTCAATAGAATAACTAAAAACTAGACAATACGCAGTATATGGTATTTCCTACTGCTTCAAGTAAAAGGCAGAAATGCCATTAACCTGTTGTGAACACTGACATAGGTTGCTGATGGCAGAGGAAGCTGCATAATGAAACACAAGCTGGGAATGTTTTCCTCTTTCTTTTTAGGAAGTGCAGGAGTTTCAGAGTCTAGAATTTATCGGGAATCCAGAGGGCGTGGTAGCAATGAGCCCCATATCAAGCGCCCAATGAATGCATTCATGGTGTGGGCTAAAGATGAACGGAGGAAGATCCTTCAAGCCTTCCCTGACATGCACAACTCCAATATCAGCAAGATACTAGGTAAGAATGATACAGCACTGTTCTTTTGGTAGCAAAACTCAAAAAACTTTGGACTGAATAGAGCTGAGCACCTGACACAACAGAGTTACTGTCTCTAGGACGTCTTCTTTTGCTACTTAATGGCTGCATCGAGGACAGCAGTGGTGTGAGCTTTCACCATGCTGCCCAGTGGTATACATTAACCACAACCTGAAAGGTTCTTCTGTCTTTGGAATCACTAAGATTGTGGGTTTGGTGCAAAAGCGTGAACTGAATAGACAAAAACAGTTCATTTCATTAGGCTGTTGAACAAGCAGAAAACTACTATCATTTTTTCGCCCACATTTTCCATATAACTAGATTCTATGGGGTAGCAGACCTCAGTATTTGATTTATGCCGTAGCGCTTTCTGTTCAAATCAATGGCCATAGGGAAAAGATCCTAAAATACATCCTTTTATTTTATACACCGACAGCTTTAAAGGATTTTTATTATGTTCCTGTACTATTAAATTTCCCTTTAGTACATGATCTCTGTCACAAGCTGCTGTTATTCTAAATATTCTGAAAAGAATCCTGAAATAAAAAAAAAAGAAATATCAGAACTGATTTCCATATCCTCTACTCTTCGCAACCCAAGCAATACTTGTCATGAACATCATCTACTGAATTTCATGCCATAGTCTTCCAACTTTTCAGTACTTGCTCAAATTTCCAGGACCACATTCTCTCCTAAGCTACTTCTCTGGGGCATGTTGAATGATACGGAAGGTGAATAATGAGGGTCTCTGAGGGCAATGAATTACTGTTCCACAGAAAAAAAATATCTGGGACCAAATTAGAGATGTTGCATTCTTACTGTTAAGACTGTGTTACAGGACCTAAGCGTCCCTCAGGCCGGCGGGCAGGAGCTTAAGCAGGGAACATGTTTACCTGGGCTGCAGGTCTCATTGGTTTTGCAGACAACTCGAGAGATGTAGCACAATTGTAATGGCAGCATTAACTGGCTGCAGGGCTGGTAAACACGCTGAGTTTAGACTGGTCAGAGGTTTGAAGTTGAGCTTGATTAGAGTGGTATTACGAAAAAGTAGCAGGGGGCAAGTGGAGATGGGATAAATTGATCGGAGAGGCAGAATGCATTGGCTGTGGATGGCAGATGTGACGCTATTAACCCATGATTAAAAGGGTGGTACAAGATGATTAGATTAGTTAGGGGAACAGGATTAGAAGGCTAAATTGGTTATGTTGATGGTAAAATAACCTTATACTGGTTAAAAGGGATTATACTGGTCAGAGGTGTATGATGTGATTAGGCTGAGGACAGGGCAGTAATAGTTTTGGTCTGCTTCTAAATTGAGAGTAGGCCTGGTTAAACCTGTTTTTAAATAATCAGCTTCAGAAATCTACAAGATCATTCTGAATGGCCCTTTTCATATAGAAAGTACAAAGAGAGCTTGATGTTTTCCCTCTTAACTGATTGTTTTGGATAACAACCTCCGACAGCACGCTGCTAATTCATTCTGCTTAAAACAGGCGCTTGAGCTGGGCTGACATTTTATGCAGTCTCTGGGGATCCTGGTTGACATTTTAAAGGGCTTCTAAGCATTTTATAATACCCTAAAATCTGGTTTTAATAAGCCATTCTGCTGAAATTGTTAACATAAGGAATCACCTTTTACTATTTGGCGCTAGATCAGGGAGATATGGGGACATCTTTTTCTGATTAGATATACAGTAGTTGGAGTAAAATGTGCAAATTCATTACAGATCCTGTTGAGGTGACAGACAGTATAGCTGACTCCAAACTCTTTCTGTTTTGCTGCCAGATACGGGGAAAAGCAAGGTCTGAAGCAGTAAGAGATGATGTTTCTATTTCTTCCCAGCATCACATTTAATTTTTTTATTCCACCTATGCAATGGAGAGGGATGTCCTGACGTCTTCTTTCTCGACAGAAATGTTACAAAGGTCTTCCCTCAATTGCAAAAGGCCAGTCTTTTGAAGTCAGCGGGGAGCTCTCTGTTAACTGGCAGAGGGCGAGCAACTAGAAGCTTACGGTTCAGGCAGGTATTAGGTTCTCTTTATTAGAAAGCCACAATTTTTCCTTACCGCTTTTTTAGCAGCACTGCTACACGTCGAGGTCAGAGAGCTCGTCATGGAGGGTAGCTTAGGTGGAGTTGTTACCGATCGAGGGTCATTTTTATAGTAAAATGAGAGGAGGTGCCCTTCCCAGCACTAGAATTCTCTAGGGATTATGCTTGACACTGTGGTATTATGTTTTGAGCATAAAAATTAGATACATGGATTTGTCACTAAATTCATCTGTGCATACGTTTGTCATCCATCTGTTCACTGCAACTTAAACTTGTGGATAATGATTTTTTTTTAGTAAATTGTTAAAAAAGTGCTAAAATGGGTCTGCTGGACCCTATCAATTTAATAATGCATTGTTTAGATATTTTTGTAAATATTTTAATTAATTTCACTGAGAAATCTACATAAAGAGATTAGGAAAAGATGAAGTTAGATACTACCTCCAGAAATTCTCTCGTGGATGTGTAAGTGTGCAAATACAAACCTATACGCATACCTATACGTTATACAAGTGTTTATGTACGCGAGGGTATTTTTTAAATGCAAAATCAACCTGATTCAGATGCTAAGATTGAAAAATGTTAGGCAGTATTACAAACAGCTGAAAAAGCTTGTCAGAGAAACTTGGCTTAAAATCAGCGATGAGCAGAGCTCCGAACCCCACTTCAGTGCGTGCGTGCGTGTGCCCGAGCACAAGTGCCAGGGCATGCGTGGGGGCATCTCTTTTCTGCCCTGGACTCAGAATCACAGAATTGTTTAGGTTGGAAAAGACCTTTAAGATCATCAAGTCCAACCATTAACCTAACCCTGTCATCCCACCACTAAACCATGTCCCTGAGCGGGGACTCAAAGAGCTGGCCCTGTACAGCCATCTTCACAGTCATCGTGTGGGCCCAGCAATACCTGCCCTAGCTCACTTTGGGGTTAAGAGACATGTTTGGTGCTGCGAAGTCTTTCTCATTTATTTTCTAAATACCTCAGCCACCAGATCAGGGAGAATTGTGCGGGAATCCTGCTCGTCATTACGTATGCAGCCAGGGAGGGGAACGAGTTCTTGTTTTCATAGTCAAGGAGAAAAGCCTTGCATACTTGACCCACGCAAAGCTTTCTAACACAGATGGTGAGCAGAAAGCTCACCCAAGAGTGTAAATCTTCCCTTAAAAAGAAAGATTTTTCAAGACTCTTCAATCACACCTTGTTTGGGCTTGGGCTTGGGCTTGGCACTGTGCATAGGTACCCCTGCCTGCCTGTGCGTGTTTATAGACACATAAAACAATGGCAGATAAAGCTATTGCAAACATACATTGTCCAAACCCGAGGTGGTTTTAACCAGTTGTAGTATGTTGACTGACGATGCTCATTCATAGCTTAGCTTGCCTGTGGGTGCAAATTCACCACAAGTTATATATTCTTCAAGCTTTCAAAATTACAGATTAAGACCAATCAGAGAGCTGGATGGATTTTGTATAGTACTAAGAAAATAAGTGAAAAGGATAAAATGTAAAAATCAAGGGTTTATCATCAGAAAATGTGCCCTTTTTCAAAATTTATTTTGACAGCATTGTTTGTTTAATTATTTATGATACTTGAAAACATACTAGTAAATTATATTTAGTATATTTTGTAAAAACAGTAAAGGCATAGTGAGAGGAGGTATCACTGCAGAAGGCAGCTATTAAAAATTTGCTAGAGAGAGAGGCGAGACTGCCAGGATTTTTGTTGTATTGAGTTTGCAGCTTAGGAAGGAAAAACTAACGAGCTACATTTCTGTATATATATTGTATGTGCAGCTGTATGTACAGATACTATGCATCAAAATTTCAGCTTTTATGGCCCTGATCCTGCAAAGACTTACATGTTTGCCTAACCTCACCCACTATTTACAAATCTTTTCACCTGAGGAGGTAGGAATCTGCCTGCACAGATCTGACTGTAGGATGGCAGCAAGTGAGCTCGCACAGCAAAAGAGGAATTGTGCTGGGATAGAACATTGTCATGGCAATTTTGCCACAACTGATTTGAGTTTCTACCTTTCTGTCTGTCTATCTGTCTCAAAATACATCTGAGTTCCTACATTGCAGGTCCCCTCACAGCATATAAAGCAAATGTCAAGATTTGTTTAAAGACTGAGGTTTTCAACTTCATTATTCGTAAAGAAAAACTGATTCATTAGCAGGAAATAGGGCTGGGGCTGTTTTTCTAAGCCACTGGGACTACAGCAGGTCTATGATTAGAGGACTTTAGAGTTAGCTAGACTAACTTATGATTTTCTTCATGTGCTAAAAAGCCGGTGTGTCAGTGTCTATGAGGTAGAATTCGAAAGTAGCCCTACACATGGGCATCTTTCAGTAGAGCTCATATGCTTCACCCTGAATTCTTAAAATCTTTCAACACAGAACCTATCTATGTTTCCATCTTACACAGCATTAGTAGGTGTTAAGTGTTTTGGCAGTCTCCACATGTTTATCACTGTGTCATTTAGCCCAAAATCTAGGAGGTACTACATGTGGAAAGTTGGTATCACTTTTTCTAGCCATTCTCTTTGCCAGAAAAAAGCTTGGAATACTTTTTCTGCAGCAGACAAAGCTGCAGACCAGGATTCTGGCCGCAGAGGTTTGCTGCCCTGTGTAACACCAGAGCCCTGCCTCAGATCCCCATGCACAGGCACTACCTGAGGTACCAAGTGCCGTGCAGGAGTTTTAGCCCAAATCCCAGCAACCATCTAGTCACGCTAGTATGGTGCTGCGCCTAAGCTAATAACAATATAATTAAACTGTTCCCCATTCCAGAACTAGCTGGAGGATCTCCTCATGTTACATGTTGTAAAGATCATGAAAAATGATGGTTCTGACTCCAAAGTAATGCGGGCTAAGAAAGGGATGTCTGCTGCTCCTCTTCAGAGCAAAGACATCATGATTTACGGATTGGTTATCTCAAGGTGTGAGGTCAGGCTGTACCAGCCTGATAGCTCTTCCCTCCAGAAGCCCAAACTGCAGCTTGGAATAAAGATGGAAAAAGCAATGAGGAAAATGGTGTCAATAATCAGAAGGGGCCTTTCTAGAGGGAGCCAAACTGTTTTCTTTCCTGGGAAGGGATAACTGCGCTTTCAATATATTGTGAGTCTTAGGGGCACAGTGAGCTAAGACCAGCCTGAGTAATAGCATGAGCTAAGTACAGTATGAGTAACCATAAAAAATGAAGAACAAGAGGAAGTCAAGTATGACGTACGACATTGTGAACCCATTAAATTGAGAAAGTATTCAAACTTTTTTTCCAATGGGAAAATTGACTATTTTCCAATAAAGTTTTCCTTCTAGGCTGTATGTTTCACAGCTTGGACCATTCCTGTTATTTGAAATGTATCTTACCCTGAAGCACTTCTATAGCTGATGGAAAAATAAAATAGGATAACTGATTCAAGAAATTTTATTTTCTGCTCCTATATTATGTCCTTTAAGAAATAATAGTTTATAAATTTCAGGAAGTATTTGAGAAAAACTCTAAAGTCTTCATTATTTCCCTAGCTCAAATATCCACGCTAACATAGGCAGAGCGTCAAAACCAAAGCTGACGGCAATGAAGCCATAGCGCGGCTCCATGGAGAGCTGTGCCGGTATCCCAGTGCTCTTCCCTTTATGACACGTACTAAATCCTTTAAGTTGGAGCTGGAAGTGTTCACCGGGACTTGATCTGGGAGTTAAAACCCCACTGAGGGATACGGGATAGTTTATAGCTTTTAGAGGCATTGCTTCAGGGTCTTTGCAGGCTCCTGTACCCAGCAGCATAGCAGTTATGATCAGTTCATATTCTGCTTCTCACAAACCTAGAAAGACACTGTATTCGTCGTGAAAGACTGAGCTGTAGACACGTGCATGTCCAGAATTTATGCCTTGATCCAGCCATGGCAGAGCACAGTGACTGCATGGGGGTGGTGCCTCCTCTAGAACAGGAGGTGAAAACAGGCCCGTGGCCAAAGGAAAGTGGGGGGGACATAGCGGTGCAGACTCTGTGTATCTAAGGGGTCTTTGGCCATTCCACTACAATACACTGCCTGTTTCCTAAGTGTCAGGGATTGCTCGTTATCAGGATGATGGTTTTACTTCCCACCTGAAAGACATTATAATGTAGACAAGTTGCAGTAAAATACTGAGTCAAAACCTCCAGTATCTTCTCTCTCTGCCTCTTGGCCATACCCAAGAGGTTTACCAGTCAAATACAAACAAGACCTGACCCCTGTCTCGAAGCTCTGACAGATTCTCAGCCCAAAGCGATATGACCGTAGGTATCTTGTTCTGGGTGACCTACTTGTTTCTCTGCCTTTCAGTGTTTGTGGATGAGTAGCATCTCATTTCTCTTTTTTTTTTTTTTTTTTTTTTTTGGTGACAGGATCTCGCTGGAAAGCTATGACAAACCTAGAGAAGCAGCCATACTATGAGGAGCAGGCCCGACTCAGCAAACAGCACCTGGAGAAATACCCAGACTACAAATACAAGCCAAGGCCGAAGCGTACCTGCCTTGTAGATGGCAAGAAATTACGCATTGGCGAGTACAAGGCTATCATGCGCAACAGACGCCAGGAGATGAGGCAGTATTTTAATGTTGGGTATGGGACCTTTAAAAACTACCGCTCCTTTCAGCAAAAAAAAATTTCAGGGAGAATTCTTAATTCAGTGTGGTAAACGTTATATTTTATTGGCAAGAACATTATATATTGCTAACAGAATATGAAGCTTATACTTTAAAACAATGTGTTCCAGGAGGAAGTTAGGCGGTTAGGGATTTTTTTGTTGGCTCTGCTATATACTCATCTAACAGCTTCAGCCAACTGTCTCATTTCCACTGCGATCATGCAAAAGAAAAAAAAATAGCTTAAGAGTTTCCAATGAAACGTAAGTTTTCTAATAAAGCCTTATAAGTATTGCTTTATTATGAGGCCTCAGAGAGTGTATCTGAATGAATCTATGGTAGTGCCTCTTGATCCAAAAGCCAAAAATACAAGTTTGCATTCAGTATGATCTGTGGCAAGTGGTCTGTAGAAGGACTGCTGAACATACTGAACTTGAGCTGGAATATGGGCTTGGCTCAGCCAATTCCTATCAGGCATGAAGTTGTCTGCGTTGTTCATCATGACAGCATTTGTCGTACTAGGGAGTGTCTTCCAGTACAGTAAGTGAAATGCTTTGTGTCGAGCATGAATTTCAAGACGACTGGTTCTGATAAACAGCTAATAGATTGGCTTGATATGATTAGGTCAAAACCTGCCCAGAAAACTAGCGTGCATTTTCCTTCTGCAAAGACCCCTTGGTTTTGGTTACAACAGATCAAAAGAATCGGAAGTAATCAAATATTCTGCAATATTTCTGTATTCACTCCAGAAAATGAAAAGCTACACAGTGGTCTTAAAAAAAAGCAAAACCAGCTACAGGAACGACCCTCAGAAATAATGGAATTTGTGTTCCATTTCATCTGAATTTGGAATCATTTCAATATTAACTGAATTGCACATCTCTCTAGTTTAAACGGCTAGAAGTAGCAATAAAGGAGAGAATAGCTGTCCAGCAACTGTTAAGTGTCATCAGGCTGTGTTTTAAACATCTACAGTGTGCATTGTTATAATAAGCCGCTCAGCAGAGAAATTTGAGCTGCTTAACCCTGTGGCGCTGGCAGGTCCAGTGATCCCAATGGTAAGCACTGAAACAAACACAGGGAAGTCAGCCAACATTTGGCATCAAGAGATTAAAAAAAGAGGAGGGGGGCCTTCTGGAAAAAGAATAGGTGGCAACAGAGCCCCCAAAACACTGCTTATCTGGTTAACATGCATGCTTCATCATGGGAAAAAAAATTAACCTTGTAACATTCTGCATATTATTTAGCTTCCAAACAAGGCTGACATTGAAATCAAGACATTTTGGGAGATAATTTGCGCTGGGGCATTAGAGGATGGAACCTGGGGTGCAATCTTTATGGAAGTTGCTAACGAGGTGGCCGATGACTGCAGCAGGGTCAGCGTTTGTCGCTGGCAGTCACAGCGCTTGCATTCCTGGGTTGAGTTCCCCATCTGCTGCATGACCCGGTGCAGGTCAGTTAGGGTTAAACTTCTAAACACCGGTCCAGTTCCTGCCTGGGCACCCAAATAAGTGATGGGGTTTGCAAGAGCTGTGGCTGTGCCCGCTGCTGGGACATGCGGAAAGCCCGTCTGAAGGTGTCTCAGTGGGAAGGACTGGGCATTTTTTGCAGCTCTTGCACTTAATTCTTCTATGTCTCAGTGTCCTCAACTGTAATGGTGGCAGGGTAAGCTCACCTCACTGGACTGCTGAGAGCCCTAATACAATTAGCACCTGAGGACTGCTTTGAGGTCCTCTGGAGTGGACATCCTATAGAAGTGGAAAAATGCTATTCTTAAATTATTTAATACTTGAAAAGCACTCTGAAAAGCACCATTTAAGTGCAAAGCGTCCCTATTGTTAAATATTAAAAGCAATTTAAGTGTGCTGAATCTTGTTACAGAAATGCTGACTCCAGAAAACAAAAGCCTTCCTATTGAATTAAGAATATAATGCAAATTAGATCCGCTCCTTACTTTAAGAGCTGTAGCTTCAGCTGACACAACTTCTGCTTGTTTCAGAAACACGGCAATAAGGACGGTGCGGAGGGAGGCCTCGCTCGAATGGCAGGCAGGAAGTATCTGAAAACGCAGCAAGCAATTCCAAACAAATGTAAAGCTGTTTGGCAGAGGAAAGTCTTTCAGGATCACTGTACTGTGCAAGGCTTACTGTACAGCCAGGGCACAGGCAGGCAGGGGAACAGGGGAGGGTTTCATTCTTAATTAAGAATGTTCATCTCAAGAGACTCTGCCCTGTCTCCTGTGGCAAGGCTTTTCAGTGCAGATGGACACACCGCTGATGACATTACAATGTGCAGCATGTACTGAAGAGTATTACTGCAATGGAATTACTTCATGCAGCAGCGAAACAAAAGGAGCATGAATTTTAAACCTCTAGGCTTGTTGGGACCCTGAAGCTTCTCAGGGAAACAAACACTGGTATAACACTGCTAGTGTTCTTGATGCAAAGGGAATTTCTATGGCCTGGAATAATTCTTCTTTCATTACTGCAGACAGGTTTCCAAGGCTTAGACGCCTTATAAAGGCATCCTGTAGAGGATTTTCTCAAATGCTCATGTTGCTTGCTTGCTTTTTATTTATTTTTAAATACTTCATGCTTCCGTTTTAAGTCTGCCTTTTCCCAGTTTTATCCACCTTCCTTCAAAGTTTCTGCTTTTCACAAGTGCCGCTCACTGTGGAAACTTTCACCTTCCAGCGGGAGGCCCTTGGTGATCATCCTACAAACCCATGTTGGCCCCGGAAAGCCCACTGTTCCTCTCCCTAATAATGGCCAGGTCTCTGAGTGAATGTGGAGCAAACATTGCCTCCTTGGAGAGACTGCCTTGCTTTCTCCTCATCCACTGGTACTTTCCTACAGCACCTCCCCATTCCTGTGCAACCTGCCTAGCCCTCGCCACATCTCTCCTGTTGGCAACATGTTACTTGCATATCTAGTCCTGCCAGCAGCTTGGATTATTGAAAAGGAAGATTTTCAAAATAGATGTTTTTCAAGTTGGACCGCAATTGAAAGGATGTTTATTTTTGGCTGGCAGCTCATGGGACACCCAGTATACCCAGTAAAGAAGTTTGTGTCACAGGCAGGCAAGCTGAACCTGTGTAGTTCAGGTACACCTAGAGATGTTTACAGAGATTGGGTTTTCTTGTCAGTGAAGTTGGCTTGGGCGTTATGTTCATTTCAAGAGCATCAGTTGGTGAGTCTGGAATACTGATATGAAGGCTGGCTTGCACAGGCCATCCAGGAGCTTCCTCTGCATGCCCAAGACTGTATGCTGTGGGCTAGCAAAGTGGTGTTGTACTTGACCTGCTTTTACTCCTTCCGATATTCAAACGTCCTTTTACTTTTTCTCCGTGGCAGGCAACAAGCACAGATTCCCATTGCCACCGCGGGAGTAGTTTACCCAGGAGCCATTGCCATGGCAGGGATGATGTCCAGCAGCCCAGAGCCCGGGATGCCCGTCATCCAGAGCACTTATGGCATCAAAGGCGAGGAGCCTCATATCAAGGAAGAGATGCAGACCGATGACGTCAATGGAGAAATCTACGATGAATACGATGAGGAAGAGGATGACCCCGATGCGGACTATGGCAGTGACAGTGAAAATCACATTGCGGGGCAAGCCAACTGATCAGGGTCCAAATATCTCGTGACCTACAGGACTTCAAGGAGAAAAGAAAAAATAAATAAAGCCCCATCTGGTTTATCCTTGCCAGTGGCCAAGCACATTAACTTTCTCATACACTGACTGTTACTTTAACTGTTAGTCTTAACTAGTTGGGACATCAGCTGACTAATAGACATCAGCCTGCATCAGAAGAAAAAAGGCTCAGAAGAAAGGAAACAAAGACAACGACGACAACAACAACAGAATGATATAAGCTATGGGTAAAATAATGCCAGTAATTCAGCTGCTATACCCAAGCACTGAAGTCTTACCCGTCGACCTTTTATTATTATTATTTTTTTTTCAAATAAACTTTATGGCTGTTTGTTCTACAATGTTCTAGAAATTCTCACTCAGGTACACAGTGCCAACAAGTGGCTTGTGAATGTGTTTTGTTGTTTTGTGCTACAGTTTAAAGAGAAATAATTTTTTTTTTTTGGTAATGCACCTGACAGAAAAGAAAAAAGATAAAATTCCTTTGACCCCCCTCTGTCTCCTCCTCCTCCTCCTTCTCCTCCTTCTCCTCCTCCTCCTCCTCCTCCTCCTCCCTGGCAAATCTGGGTCAGAAGTGTGTGTGTGCGTGCGTGCGTGCCTGTGCGCGTGGCTGGCAAGGAAGGAAGCGGGGAGTCTGTTTCTGTTAACCCCAACAAGCAATTATTTCCTTTCAAGAGAGGACTTCTCTTCATCAGTTGCACACCATACTGAGTCTTTGAGCAAGTGCCAAATTTGTACTAAAGCGCAGAACTAGTCCAATTTGCTTTTTTTTTTTTTTTTTTTTTTTTTTTTTTTTGTTTTTTTTTTTTTTTTTTTTTTTTTTTTGCTTGGTCTCTTCTTGTTTTGTTTTTCTTTTGCTTTTCTTTTGCTTCCTGCTCTGTCTTAAGTTAGGACAGTGTTGTATCTTAGACAATCCCTTGAAGAACCTGATATACCAGCAGCTGGTGAGATTAGACGTATATTTTGGGGTTTGTTTTTGCTTTTTAAAGGAAACTGTAGGTGCCGTTCTCAGGTGAAAAAAAAGAGAGAAAGAGAGAGAGAGAGAGAGACATAAGAAATTTAGAGAAAAAATATTTTATGATCTTGGATTTTCATGTGTGCGTGTTTATGGTACTAATAGGAATAATATTGGACTATTGTGAGCAAAAAGCATGTTCCAGAATGAAGTCCCGCACCCTCCAAATGACTTGGTCTGTGAAGAACCTTTGCTTTTAATTTACACTTCAAGTGGCAGCATATGCAACATAAAAAAGGCTTGTCCAAAATGTGATTTGTTCAGCACAGGACAGGGCAACTGGAAATGTTACCTCCTCATTGAGCGTAATTAGGTTACCGCGATGTCCAGTTTTAATGAACTTGTACCTTCAGCGTAGCTGAGTACTGATCTCCCATTTAAAAGGCGATTTTTTATTTTAACTGACATTTTTTTTCTCCTTTGCACTTGCAGAAATCCATTTTTATCAGTGGGATGTTTGTGTAGGAAGGAAGACTAATAGCTCTGAAGAGATTTCCGTATTCAAAGTGGGCAAGTAAGAACCCAAACCTTTGCGGTGCCGAGTTTCCCTAGCTGCTGCCTCTCACAAGTGAAAAATTGTTCTCCTGGACTGAAATATTTTCAGTGTTTTTCTAGAGCCCTTAGTTAGGTTGCTTGGGCAGTTTTGCCTTCCTTGGGCAGCAGCAACCAGGTGAGGAAGGTGGACTTGCACAAGCGTAATCCTGAGCAGAAGTTAGCTTCTTGTATTTCCAGTAAGGTAACTGAATGTTAGGCTTTATTTCAGAAAAAAAGGAAGTTAATGTATTTGGTATATTTGATTGACCTGTAAGTGAATCAGAGAGTCTCCTTTCATCTCCTCACTCTGAGGTTCCTGTAGAAGGAGAGGACCCAAGTTTGTGTAGCAAGACAGAAGCATTAGATCTAAACCAACCAACCAACCAACCAACCGAAAAGGCTACCTCTCATTCCGAACAGCAGCTCTCCAGGAGCTCCAGTCTGGCCTGGGAAGCAAAGTCTTAGGATTGTACTGAGGCAAAAACCTTCCTTGTGAGTCTGTTTTCTAACTGAGGATGCCACCTCTATATTCACGATGCTCCCTGGTAAATGCTTGCTCCTAGAGAGAGAATCATTGCTATTGCCATTACTTTTAACTTGTGAAAATAGCCCTGTGCATCTCGGTGCCAGTGAGATCCCAGCCCGAGCATTCATCAGAACCATGGTCTTCAGAACTTGGCAACATGGATTTTTGCAAACACTCCCTTGATCAGGCAAATTGAGTCCTCGGTGCAGTCAGCCAGTGAAGTCCAGGTGCAGGTTGAAAGGGGCAGGTAGGAGGAGAGACTGGGAAGGAGGTTGGGGGGGGGTCTGTCTTTGCCTCTTGAAATCCCACTTGAAGTGTAACTTGACCTCTGCAGACCTTGTGCAAAGCAAACAAGCAAATGCCATTGAAGACTTAGGACAATACTCCGATGAGCGGTTTGGACGTGTGATAGTTTTACCCTACAACATCTGTTTTACTTTTCTCCTGTTTTCCCCTTTTTTGATTTCCACCCCTGCGTCGAAAAATTCTTTTCTATTTTCTCTCTCTCAGAAGATTTGCTCTGAAGTTATGCTTGGAGTAGCTGATCATATCCTCCATGTCAGAGAGGGTTCTTTTTGTTTATATTTTATGACTGTGTTGGGTTTTTGGTTTTGTTTTTTTTTTTTTCAGTTGAACTGCCTCTTCTTGCTAGTGTTGTAATGGTAATTATAATAATAATAATAATAACGGTCAGCTGTTCCCAGATTAGTAAATTATGTATAATTTATTTTATCCCCCCCCTTTTTTAACTTTATTTTATTCTGTTCTAACTTGGCAGTGCAGCAAATGAAGCTGTTAGGCTATTTAAAATGGATACCCCTCCCCACCTTGCCTTTTTATATATATATAAATATATATATATACATATGAAAACAAATCGCTTCTTCTTCTGCTCACACCATTCCTCTTTCTTTTATTTTAATTTTGGCCCCAGCCATGTCAACTTCTGATGTTTATTATGATGGAGTGAATTAATGGGAGTGTTGTTTTCAATCTTAATTAACTTCTGCTCTCTCATCACTCATTTTAGTTATTTAATTACACCCGTCATCTAGAGCCAATTTTTTTGAAGCACTCTGTTTGGATAAGAAGGAAAAAAAAAATAGACAATTGTTTTTATATCATTATTATGTACAATGTGAAAACAGATATTTGCTCCTTTTTTTTTTAACTTTCAAATTTGTTCCCTGTCTTTGTGAACAAATTACTTCTGACTCTTGTGGGTTCACCTCACATTTGCTGGATGCTTTGATTTCCACCACGTTACAGAGACTCTCTGGTTTAATTGTGTCACTTTGGGCTACCGGAATACTTTGTTTTAGCTCCAGGTAGGTGCCACTGCAGCAGGCGAGATTGGAGCAAGTCTTAGACGCATGGGCTGGGAAGCCGGCCTCGGGGAAGTCGATGGGAAAAAGGCCCTTTGACTTCAGCGGGACCGAATTTCAGCCCCGAGCTACGGGCCGTGCTGCAGGAGACGCTCCTGGAGGTGGCCCCATCTCGGTGGGCTGGGTCGGCCCCGCGCCGACGGAGCGCCCGTGCCGGCGCTGTGGGACCGAGCTCTGCTCTCGGTGATGGGTGGCGCGACAAAAGAGCCCTTCTCCAGGAGCGCTCTGCTTTGCTCGCTGCCTTGGCCTGGACTAGGGCTCAGATGAACGCTAATTTTGTTACCGTACACATTTCCGTCTGAGAGACTACGCTAGAGCCTGGGGTTCGGTCAGGCTTTTCGAATGGGTAGCTTTAGCAGACTATCCACGTCCTGCATTTGGATGTTGAAACCGATGCAGCAACGTTAAAAAGAAAAAAGGCAAAAAAAAAAAAAAAGGCAAAAAGAAAAAAATAAAAAGGCTCTGGGGTCCCAAACCAGCAAAATACTTAACACCTGTGCTAATGTTTTGTTGGGTCCAAGGATGAGCGCCTGTATATCCTTCGGCAGTAGAAGACCAGATTTGAAAATGAGGCCCTGTTTGTCCCTCTTTAATTTCTTAGAAAAAAAGCAAAACAAAGCAAAACATACATTTATAAAAAGATCTTCTTGTCTTGTTTCTTTTTTTTCCTGGGTTCTGTGCCCTGGAGCACCGTAGAAAAACCAGGTTAGAAGAGATTAGGATCGCATTAACCTAAAAGCGCGTCAAGGCCCTAATGCCGAGGCGGGCTTCGTTCCCCTCTTCCCTGGGAACCTGGCGAGCAAGGATGGTCCTGGGGAGCTGCCGGGGGGGGGGGTACGGGACATCTCCTAAATGGGGGGAGCCGCTTACGCCGTGCGTCTCGCGAGCTTACAAAAGAATGACACCAGCAGTGGGGAAAAGGGGAAAAGAATGAGGAAAAAAGACTGAGGCACTTGCTTCTAAGCTCAATTAAATAACACAGAGTATATCCTTTTTCAATTTATTCATGCCTTATATTAGTAAAATAGGATTTTTAAGTGCATTTAACATCTTTAACCGTTCCGCTATATTAATCAGGCCCCCAGAAAAGAACACTAGCTATTATTATAGCATTTAATTAGTTCTGTAACCAAATCCTCTTATTACGAATGCATATGGAAGAAATTATTTCTTCGAAGACATTATTTCAAAGATTTGGTTACTGCAGTAGACTCTCTCTTTAATTAAATCATTTTTTAGAAAGTAAATTGTCTTTAACCTTTTTACAGCACATTTTCAGAGCTTTTTCTTTTTAATCCAAAGAGATGAGCTGTTATTGTCCCCGAAGAAGCCTCTGACATCACGTTCGTAACATCAAAAATAATTATACTCCGTGGAAACGTAGACCTTACTTAGCAAGAATTCATCTGCTAGAATGAATGGCGACTATATGGTATCTCGTACGTTTAAGGGCATGATGTATCGGGTAGGAAGTATTTTTGTCTGCCCACTTCTCGGTAGAATCATACCT